CATTGTATATCCATTCAGAAAAGAGCTAAACTTGCATATTCATATGCAATGAAGACAAAAATAAATATTTGCAAAGGTAAACTATACATTTAGATTATAAATATAATTGAGTTGATTTCCTTTAATGAGTGTTCTCTATTTTACAATATTTGGTATTATTTTTTATTTATAAATATATAATCTTTCATCAATACATGTCTAGAAATGGACAAATTATACACTGAAAAAGCATTTATTCATTAAGGTTCCTGATTTCAGGCCTTGGGTGAACTGGGTTTGCAATTTACACTATTTCTGCTTCAACCCATCAGTTATTTGTGAACTGCTAACTTGATTATTCTGTAACTGTGATACATGATTAGGCACAAAAATCACATGGCCTTTTTCCACCTCACTGGAAGGCAATACTTAGAGTAACAAACTGATTATATCTGAGAAAGAATCATCTTGTTGACATGTTTTTCTGTGCAAGCTTGGACATTTGTACACTGAGAGGTACTTACAGCCCTTTTTTTAGATAATTCCTTTTTACAGATGTTTATATATAGCAGAGACAGCCACAGAAACAGTACCAAAGTGAAAAGCAGTTTGAAATTTTAACAAGCTCTTACTGCTACTCTTTTAAGGGAGCACCCTTGCCCTCTGAATTTAAAGAGCAACATGATCTGCCACATCTTGCAATGAATTGCAGATCTCTCCACCATTAGCACAAAGCAATCTGGTACCTGCACCTTAATGTTGCACAGGAAAAGACAAGGTGAAGAATTTGGTTCTCTCTAATTGCTGGAAAGAACTAAGACTCTTGCCCAAAAGTGATGCTCTTGCATAAAAAATTACAGCTGAGCTTAAAAATTATTTTGTTCACGGAAGAGAGGCTCTTGTTGCACAATGCTGATCAGGCTTAGCACATGTAAGGACAAAGAACAATGCTACTACTGCCAGAAAATCAATACTGTTACAGGCTATGGCAATTAGCTACAAACCAATTTAAACTCCATTGCCTTTTCAGCCTTCTTGTCTTGTTGAAATACTTCCAACCTTTCCATCTGGAGCAAATATTAGAATTATTTCTAAATGCAGAAACTGAGGAAAGTCTGAATATATAGGTGGGTCTGTATTACCTTTTCACCTATCCTTAGCAGGTAACTCCAAGGTTTCACTACCCAAAAAAAAAGGCTGGACTACAATATCCCACTGAATTCTCTAGTGATAAATGAATTTATAAAACTTGCAGAGGTAATTTTCATTAAAACAACAAACCTGCATATGTACAAGGTAAAAGCAGAACTTGTCCCATAATCCTTAGGGACCCTATTAATAAATCAAGGAATTCAGTGTGCTCAGTGCAATGCAAATGTACACAACGTGTGCCCATCCAGTTTGCGATCAAAATGTCAGCAAGCATAAAATACATAGAAATGGAATTATAAAGAGGTAGAAAACACAAATAAAAATATTCCTCAGGAGCCTAAACAATCCTGAAAGACTTAGGAAAGTCCTGAAATCAAAGCAAATGCTCAGTTTCCACAGTTCATTCCTTTGCTATTGTTTTACCAGTAAATTCATGACCTAACGTGATATAAATTTTGCATCCTTTCCTGAGATTCACTAGTAGTACAGCCATATCAAAACTCTTCTACGTTTAATTTCTTCTGAACAACAGAAACCTTTCTTCCCCCAGACAGACTAGAGGCATCTGTTTGTACCACTTTTCAGCATGACTCAGAAGAAGCAAGAGTGTTAATGCTTAGGTTTAACACTGTTACTGAGGGTGACACAGCAATAAAGAGTTTTCCTACTCTGATGTAAATCTGAGTTAAAATTTCTGAAGGAAAGTTGACTAATCTTGCACCAACAGCTGTAAGTCATTTGTACAGAAAAACTTAATTGATAACATAGTAAATAAGCAACAGCACTCATCGAAAGCATAAGTGAACTTTTATTTAGGAGAATACTTTTCCAATGCTGAGGAAAGATATTGACATTCAGTATCCACTTCAGAATTAATTTAATGGGCAACTCAACGTGTCTCAGAGCAGGCTAGGAGTTAAAATTTCACTTGTGTAATTATTCTGAAGAAATATGTAAGTCTGCCATCTGGAAGTGTATTAGACGTTACAAAGTCACTGTGTGCATGCCTCAGCAGATGCAGCTTTTGTTCAGAGTTTTGAGGGCTGTTAATTTAATTAGTTTTGTATTTTCATACTCCCACCTTCCTTTCAACAGTAATTCTGCAAAGGCAGCATCAGTACAGCTTTAAAAGAATCCAAAGCTAAAAGCCAAATTCAGATGTTAAGGAAAGAGAAACAAATAAAGCTCATATAGAATTCAAATAGAGCTTGACCTGTTCATTAGCAGGCATAAACATTAGTGCCAATGGCTTTTTAGTCCAAAACAGAAAACTGTGCTCAATGCATCCTTTCCTACATTAGCCTTCTTAATTTAAGAAGGCTATGAAAGGATTCTACCATTTTATTTTTTTATTAAAACCACTTTACAACAACAATCTAGAGAATGTAAAAAGTCTCTGATTTTTTTTCCTACTATCTTTCATGTAATGGGACACCAGACAAATATTTAAGCTTGATTTTTTTGATTTTTTTTTAATGTTTTTAGGGCATTTTTTCCAGAATAGTAAGCCATCTTGCACAGTAAAAGTAAGCTACATATCTCTGAGTGAAGAAAGGCTTGACAGTTCTAAAAACTAGGATCATTACTCACCTAAAAATAACGACTAACCCTTTACGTTTCTTCAAACACTTTACATTTCTTATAATAGCTTGCAACCTAAATAATGTGACATTTCTACCAAATAATTTACAGCATAAGAACTATCTGTGATGAAGGTAGTTATATCTGTACATGTACACACTTGTTTCTTTCTGATCGTTAACCCTCTAAGCTGCAACACATGAGCAGATCTCTGGCAGTGCAGGGTCCTAATAACTGCACAGATCTCCATGCAGTAATGCAAAACTATAAACCCAAGTTGTTTATGAGATTGTAAACCTATGCCAAAACATCATCCCACAATATTTGACAAGGTTGAGAATTTCTTTCAACTGAGAATCCAGACAAGGGACACAAGTTGGCAATGAACCCAAATCAGTGCTGTTTGCACAGCCCAAGAAGCTCAGACCTTGGGGGTCCAAGAACATTTGAGAGACCACGCAAAACTATAAACCCAAGTTGTTTATGAGATTGTAAACCTATGCCAAAACATCATCCCACAATATTTGACAAGGTTGAGAATTTCTTTCAACTGAGAATCCAGACAAGGGACACAAGTTGGCAATGAACCCAAATCAGTGCTGTTTGCACAGCCCAAGAAGCTCAGACCTTGGGGGTCCAAGAACATTTGAGAGACCACGAGGTATGCACAATAACAGCAGGGAAGGAATGTGGGAAAGAGCTAAGCATTTTCACAACCAACAGGAACACCTTCAAATATCAAACATTTCATGAATAAACTGAATACAAAAATCAAACAAGGATGACATGGGGAAAAGCTCAGAGTTAACCAAGAGTGCTTTAGAATATGCGTGCTAACACACTCATTAGTAAAATATGTGTATGTTGTAGTTTGAAGTTTAACCAACTAGGATAATTTACACTGGAACAGCTAATTAGGTTACTACACAGATAGCCAGCTGCCCTGCTGCATGGATACCTGAGCTTCCTAACAAACAGTTTCTGAGAACAGAGGAGTTTACAGCCCAGTATTGATTTCAGGTCACCTGAAAACATGATGTACACTGCAGCTGTCCAGGAGCCACTTGCTAAACAGCTCGACAGAAGCTGGAATAGACACTTGTGGGCAATACCTGCAGCAGACATCCCAAAATAATCATCCCTGTTCACAAACAGAAGCTTTTCATGTACATTAGTTTCCACTTACTATAATATTATCTAAGCCAATAAATATAAGAAAATAGAAATATTAGCTATAGCAATAAAGAGATTCTTAGAATCAATGGTAAGGATACCTTGGGTTGCTCCTCACAGCAAATATTTGTTGGTTCTACTGGATTTCATGATAAAAGAAACTGAAGAACTTTGTGGCATTTTTGGTTTGGTTCATGTTCTTTTGGGTCTTGGGCGACTTTTTTTAATTATACACAAATATCAACTTCCTACCTGAACTTTCCTGCTTAGTGGGAGAGGGTGTTTTGACAACACTATGGAAAGAAACAAATATCATCACACCTATAAGGGAAATAGTTTGCAGATGTGGCACCTAGAAGACTTCTGAATTATCTAAGAGAATCTGTAGGAAGACAGTAAAAACACTACAAACCTTCTAATCAGATGAGAGATCAAAGAGACAAGAAAGCCTGATAGGGTTAATCAAATATCACATTAGGATTAGGAATATAAATACCTAGAGAGAAAATTATGATATCTAATGGCAGAAATACTGAAGAATATAGTTAGTTTGCAATGAAAAAAATATTTATTCTAAAAATCACGTATTTCCTGAAAAATGGAATGCACAAAATTTAAAATCCAGAGCCATGTTTTAATCTAAGCTTTATGTATTTATTCATATATACAAAATAGGTACATATGACAGACTCTCCTATTTCTATAGCAAAATAAAATTAACTGCAAAAATCTCAGAAATTATAGCGAAGTGCTACTCTTGGAAAACAGAAAGAAAACAAGAAGAGATAGTTGATGCTGGCTACCCAGGGAAATCAAGGGGCTCTGCATGGCTGGGGAGGTGATACTTGGGACAGATGAAACTCCATAACAAAAGGCAAAAAGGTTGCATCAAAGACTTACTAAACCAGCAAAATGAAAAATGTATGGCATGTAATAGGTTCAGAAAACTAAATAGCTAATCACACTAACTTTGTATCGAGAGGAACAGAACTAGAAGTCAACTTTGGCTACTGAATAATACACAATAAACTCCAACTTCCATTTCTCACACAACTGTGATTTCAGTCTCAATGGTTTATTGCATGTTTCAGATATCATAATAAACATGCACTTACCGAACAGCTTTTGTCAGAATTCCTTTTCCATTGCTTCTTGACTTGTTTCTTTGTTGCAGTTGAGTGAAGAGTTGCATGTGTCTGTTTTCGGGGATTTAAAGCCAGGATATTCTGCAGAAAGAGAACAGAAAATAATAAAACATATATAAAGTTTCCATAAAAGTTCAAAGCCTCTTAAATCACACCTTACACACTTATTTACAGTGGTATACAAAACCAAAACACAATTATTCAACATTATAGCCCAACTTCATACTAATTTGTTGAGATTTGTACTGTCCACACCACTTAGATTATGAATATTTAAAGACATTTCTAGGACTGCTAGAAAGCAGAATTATATTTAGTGGCCTTAATAATGGCTTCCATTCCCAGATATTATTATGTACAGCATACAGAAACACATAATTCTGCTTCATTATATCACTCCAAGTAACACTTGTAAAGTAAAACAAGCAAAAGTATTTTGAAGGATATGGGATATTTCTGAATGTTTCATCATTTCAGTATAAACTCCAACTTCCCCTTCACAATAATCTTCTTCTACACCTAGTGTGCTGAGGAGTTAACTCACTTTTCTTAAAATGCTTTTATTTGCAAGGACACAAAGATATCTCTGAAATATGGCCATACTTTTAAGTCATAGTGGTGGTCTGACAGCATAGGCAGAATGAAGTTTGTAATGTCTTTCATTATAGTAGTGTAACTCAGCAAATTAAATCAGCTTTTTGGAATCCATTCTCTCTTTCAAATCAGTCAAGTGACAGGTTTCTATAGCAAAACTGACCTCATTTAACTCAAGGGGTAAGTGTGAAAGGCATGCAGGACAGATCCAGACTCAGGTCTGTGATGGAGAACCAAAACAGGCATATTGTTGGTTGTAACTCCTCGAATTGGTTTTGTAATATTGCCTTTAAAAAACCTTGACTTTAGCACTATACATCTCCACTGTGGTGAACAGGGTGTGCTTATTCTGTTACTATATGTCAAAGATGTGTGAGACTGACTTACAGAAATGGAGACTGAACATGATGAGTATGATGGGGTTATGAATATTATATCAGGTTGCTTCCTAACTTTAGAAGTCTGTTTGAGTGGGTGATAATGATGAAATAGTAATCTGTTGTATTAAGATTTTATTGTGCTGACATTTATGGGGACTTCTTATTTTAAATTTTAAATGAGTCACCTTCTATTCAACTCTTTAATGCTTTAGTCTGGACTGCTTTGAAATCCATTTTTCTCACAAACCAGAAATCTGACCTACTTGAAAATTCTACCTGCGAACAACAACAGAGCCCAGTACAATAACTTCCAGCTTGCCTGACACACACAGAGACAAAAAAAGTGGGTACAACATTCTGAAAGTTATAGACTATTTAGCAGCCTAACTGCTGTTGAATTTCAGAAAGAGTTCAGGGCATTATCGTATGTGCGTCTGCAATTATAGCAGTAAAGACTCTGCTCCATTTCTGGGTGTTCCCCAGCTGAGTACCACAGGCAAGATGTGGCAACCAAACGCTTTCAGTGGTGGTTTATGCTAATTTATTTCACTCTTAATTAAAACAGAGCAGGGACATCCACATAAGGGATGTCACTTACAGCATCTCAGTTGATACTTTAATTTCTCAGGATGATCAAACTCAACTGTCAGAGCACATCTGACTGTTGAGTGCCCAAAGTGCCCAAACCAGACACACACAAACTTTACCAAAATTTTGTCTACTCTCCTTTGTAATTGCTTAATGCTTGGCCATGAATATTATAATTATTTTAGCAAACTGAAATGAATTGCAAATTTCTAGTAATAAACTGTAACAGATGTACTCCACTGGGTACAGCACCAGTTGGTTTAAAACATGGAACAAATGGTGGGGCAAGCCAAGGACGGAAGAATCCCCATATGTTTGCTCCTGTTGGAATTCTGCAGCAGGAGCATGGCTCCAAGCGCAACAGTTGCAGAAATCCAAAAGGACTACGTAGCACAGCATGTCCCAGAATTAAATCTGAAATAAAACTGGCACAGAAAATACTAAATCACATATACAATATAAAAATTGCTTATATTCCCACTACCTAAATAATATACTATCTGCCTGAATCTTAGATTGCTGACCAAAGTGACTGCTTTAGCTAGAGGTCCCTGGTGTTTAAGAACAACTCACAAGTTAACTGCCTAAATGGGAAAGTAATGTAAATGCTTTTGGGTCTGTTGAACTGTCAGAAAGGAAAATTAGTGAGGGTGTTTTCTTCCTATTTATTTCAGCTCCCTGGTTGGTTTTTCACAGCTTATGGCTAGTCAGACATGTAGTAAATTTAACAAATAAATTCAGATAGGTCAACCATTAAGTGGAAAATTACTGGGAAGAAAGTTCTAGTATTGCAAATAACAATGTATGCACACAGCTAAACAAAAACAAAGCACCTTGGGCATGCAAGAAAGGAATCATGAGACCTCCAATCTCTGAAACACACTGATCATCCAAGCAGAGGGAGAGCTCATTGGTAAGGAGAATTATTTGGGAGTCTGTGATCTTGTCTGAATTCCATGTTTATTCTGCTACATAAATTCTCATTCATGACAGATGAGCTGTTCTTTGATCTCTCCAGATGTTGAAAGGGCAAGATCCATGTTCCCCAATAGAGGGTGCGAGTACATAATATATCCCTTTTCAAAGTACTATGAACTTTGGATTTCATGTTAAGATGCTATTTGTATAGTAATATGGAACCTAGAAATTATATCTTTGCAGTTCTTCATAAACAGCCATATTTATTTCATTAAAAATAAAGTTGGTATAAATCCATTTTCATTAATAGCTGCGAATCAGAATATAACACCGCTGTACTTCTGTAGAAATCTATTTAGGTACTCTGTTGATGAAGAATGACATGGGGCTATGAGTAAGTACACAGAAGTAAATTCAGCCCATGTTGAATTTGTGACCTGTGGCACGGCAGCACAACATGCACAGTGGAGTTAAGCTTGTAGCTTTGCACAATGCTGTTGACTATGGTCACCACCAAAGTATTACACTTTCCTGCATTACTTCCATAGATTAATTTGAAGACTTCACTTTGGGAAGAAAGCCTGTCACTACAGAATGCAACTCGATATATATTGCAGGCGACTCCTGCAAATACAATTGACATAAGTAATTCATTTCATAATAAACTATGACAATGACTTCTTTTACATCTTTTAAAAGACAACAATAATTATAAGCTACAAAATATGTAAGAATAGTTCAGTTTCTGAACACACCTTCTTCTGGAAGGGAACATGTTCATTATGGCTAATAGATATTGATTTAGGTTGCAAGCATCCTAAAATGCAATAAACTATTTCTATGTAATGAACTTTGAGGATGACTTGCATGTACAAGTGATAGCTACAGCTTTTAAATTTTCAGAATTTAGTGATAAATGGTTATGTTGATCTGCACCAACAGTAACATAGCTTCTGAGAATAAACTTATCATAAGCTATTCATTAGATGTTTATTGCTTAGCTTTTACTTTAAATGGTATGATTAAGCAGTCTACACAAAAACATACTAGCTCTAATTTTAACTATCATCTATTAATGAAAAGGCTGTAAAAGTTTTAAAACAGCATGTTATATCACAGTGAGTAATTTATCAAGGATTTGAATTAATATTGCTCCAAATAAGTGATTTCAAAGCAGTCATTCAGGATAGAACACACTCTCCAGTTGGGAGCCCTGTTTCTGATACAGCACTTTCAGGTAAATCAAGACAGGTTTGGCACATGTCCTGTGGTGATGCAATTTAAATTTCTGGTAAAGACATTTCATTTCATTTTTAATTTCATTGAAAGTGTCATACACATTCTATTCCCATCTCATAAAGCCACGCTTTTGCTGAAATCAGAAGAAGCTACTGCAATTAAGTCTGGTTTATAATTAAATGAACATTTGGCAAAATAAAATATAAAGTTATAGAAGCACTATGCTTACTGGGAACACCACCTCAAAGCCAACAGGGGCAGGGGGGACAGGCAGAGAGGGGATGTTGTTAAGCAAAAAAGTACTGTTTAGATCATAGGTGAGACTGCAGTAGCGTCAAGGGAGTCATCAAAAAGTCCTGCTAGTCTAGCATTGTCTTTGTAAAGTATATGACATTACTTCAAATTTTGAAAGCTTTGCTTTAAAGCACTATGTTATGAAGTCTTTGGCTCTTTTTCTTTTTTTCTTTTTCCCCCTCCCCCAAAGTAACAACCTTAGCAAGGTGTCCTGCTTTTTGAACTCATCTCTCATTCAAGACAATAAATTTGGAACAAAAAATCAATAGTTAAGATTACTCGGCTTCTGGAAAGCCTCCTACTGAAATCAGGAGTATTTAGTCCTTAGTCATCCTCATCTTTGTTATTGGTAATTCAAAGCCAGAACAAGGATCAGAAAAAGTATCTTCAGGCTCTGTCACAGGTTGCAGTATAAAAAAATGTGTCATTTTAAGAAGCTTGCAAAGTAAAAATTTGCTCTTTTCATGGATTCTGCCCACTGCCTCTAGCTTGTTGGGTAGTTTCTTATGAACAGTCCCAAAATGCCTGAAGTTCACCACAAATCAATACACATACAGTCCCAATGAACCTGCAGAAAATGCAACTGTTCACATGCAGACCATAGCTATAGGCAGACAATATGGTCCCCTGTGTTATTCTATTTGTTTTATCATACAGTAGTACATTTACTTAGCCCAGCCCCTGCAATACACAGATTTTACCCTGATTTACTCCAGTTGCTTCACAGAGCCTGCTCAGCTAAACTCTTCTATATACATCAATTAAAATGCAGAAGTAGGCTAGGCATGCTAGAGAATGCATGTGGAGAGCAATTTAACCCACCTCATTCCATTAATCTATCCAATTTCCTTAAAAAGAGTTGTAATCTCCCTCACAGCAAGTAACATTAAATGTATTGCAAGATACATATGTTCACCAAGTGAACATAATGAGAACATATTTATTTTTTCTAAGAGTAATGAGCATACTAAACAATTAATTTCAAAGCTATGCAAGTGTTCATTCACTCACAGAAACAAGTACCTGTGGCTTTTCCCCTGATATTTTCTAGTATATCTGAACATGACA